CAGAATCTAATGACCTCCCTATGTTTTGACTGAACACTCAATTAGTAAAGTCTCTGAGCACAGAACCCCAATGTATATATTTTACATATAAATTACATGTATATTATTAACCTAACATTATTGTACTATAAAATAAAATTAAAGTAAGGCAATATGAAATAAGATAGTTATTTTAAATAATTTCATTTTTAATTAAAGGTATAAGACTCCTTTAAATACTAACCTTTTAACAAGAGCAAGGTGATTGACAAGGTTTTATTAATTTAATTCTTAGTGACCTAGCAATTCCAAGACTTGGTTCTAGGCCCGGTTTATTTTGAAGCATGGATTGTGAAGGCTGGGTAGCTAAAAAAGATCCAAATTGAAGAAGTACATTGTGGCTTAGCTGAACTAAATCAGGATTCTATTCTAGCTTTTCTAGCAATTACGAAAAAGTTGTTGTCAAAATTCATCTGTAAATTTCTATCTTTTCCTGATATCAGTTTATCAGCTAATTAGAGAGTTTTGCATTTTTACTAAATGCAATTCAAAACAGAGGGGAACTACTTCCAAGTATTTTAAGTAAGTCAATGTAAGAGTTTTTCCAGGTGACATATACTTTTCATAAGAAAATCACATAACAGGCTGAGCACGGTGGCTCACACCTGTAATACCAGCATTTTGGAAGGCTAGGGTGGGTGGATCATGAGGTCAGGAGATTGAGACCATCCTGGCCAACATGTAAAACCCCATATCTACTAAAAATACAAAAAAATACTTCTTAGGTAGTATAACTTTGAACTCATTGCTATGTGCCACTATTAAAAACTAAGCTGAAGCCAGGTACAGTGTCTCATGCCTATAATCCCAGCCCTTTGGGAGGCCGAGGTGGAAGAATCACTTGAGCCGAGAGTTCAAGAGCAGCCCAGGCAACATGGCAAAACCCTGTCTCAACAAAAAATACAAAAGGTAGCTGGGTGTGGTGGCACATGCCTGTGATCCCAGCTACTCAGGAGGCTGAGGTGGGAGGACTGCTTGAGCCCAGGAGGTCAAGGCTGTAGTGAGCCATGATCGTGCCACTGAACTTCAGCTTGGGCAACAGAGCAAGACTCTGTCTCCCAAAATAAATAAATTAATTAAATTAAAATAAAAACTGAGTTGAGACATATAATATTTAGAGAAAACTGCTCAAAAGGCACACAGGGCATCCATTTCCAGGTATTCTAAAATCTAGCTCTTGGTCAAGTTACAGCAACAGAAGCCTGGGTACCTGAACCACACTATAATGACTACTTAAGAACTGTTTTTACTGAATAGTACTTTGGTATGTTAACAACAGGCCACACTGAACACCAGTAAAAGAAAATCCCAAGAAATCACAGCTACGAAGACATTGTCTAGGAAACTGTAACAGCATCCAAGAAAATCTGTACTTCTAAGGAACAAGTATATTTTATTATATGAACCCTGTCACCTACTGTCAATGACAACAGAGCTCAGAGCCAACTTACAGCCTAACCATAGATAAGTACCAAATTCCCATTGCTATGTTTTCCCTGACTTGATTTTATATCTATCCTGTTTTTTTTTTCATTTTTCTTTTCCTTCTACTTTTAATTTCTGTTTTACTGTTTTGTGATAATATATATGTATTATATAAACTGTTTTAAATCCTTTTTAGAACAAAGCAGGGAAATACTGAAATAGAAAGATCAAGAGAGTTTCCTGGGGTCCTTTAAGGATCCTTTAGAGGATCCAGATCCATTTAACATTCTGGATGGAATTGTATGTATCTAATCATTAAAGGTTCAGGATGAAGTAAAGCCAAATGCTTTTATCCATAAGAATTTATTTACTTACACCAGGAGTTGGCAAATTTTTTAGTAAGACATCTATTGCTATGTGGTCAGGCTGATGTTTCTAAGAGGCATGTAAGAGGTACTTGATTAAAAGATTGCTACTGAAACTGCAACCACTCAGTAAAGTGGTATACATTTCCTTTCTGATGCAAGAAACTTTTTGAAGACAAATCTGACTCAATGATTAAAAGATGATTAACAAGAAATGCATTGTTACTTTTGTTTATAAACTACCATGGCAAGTTGCTGCTTACTCAGGAAGGAAAAAGGAGAGGAAAGGATAATTTTGACTAAGTACATGGCATCTCCAGGACTTGAAAAGGGCTCAAATAAAAAATGGAAGAAAAATCTTTCCCTAGGGATAGATACTGAATACTTAGTTGAGCGAGGAAGCTGGGAATTAGCTAAGAGTTTACTAACAGTGGCAGAGGAACAACAGGTATCTTTTCAAAAAAACAATTTAATATATTGATAAAGCAGTGATTGTTAATATCATGGTAAGTCATTGGAGGAAAAGGGGTAAGAGCAAGAATATCAGTCTTGTAAAAAGGTTAATCAAAGAATTGTCCTGCTAGGCTTGTGCCCATTGGTACTAAAACTCTGATCATGTTTCTGCTTACTAGAGATCCTATAGCTCAAAATGACAGTAAAGGAATGAGTCCAGATGACCAATATGCAGAAACTGATTATCCTGATAACTGATGAGAAAAGGGTACCCCCAAGAAAGCCTTGAATTATAGAAAGGAAGAAAATCACAATCCCATCTGAAACCCAGGCAACTAAGTTTTTCTCCCAGTCTTACAAAAATTCCAGCACTGTAATGGTGCCTACTATCTGCAGAAAAGGAAGCACCAAATAATATCCTGAGAGACCAATATAAGCAGGAGGAAGGACACAAGCTTTTCCCAAGTAGGCTGTAACAAGGAGAGGGATAAAAAGCCTTCTCACAATAGGACAACACAAGAGTCACTGAATTTCTCAACTTCGGTGCTACTGACATTTATAGTCAGATAATTCTTTGTTGTGAGAGGCTGTCTTGTGTGCTGCAGGATGCTTAGCAGTGTCCGTGGCCTCTATGCCTTATATGGCAATAGCATCACTATAAATTGCGACAACCAAAAAAATGTCTGGAGACATTATCAAATGTCTACAGGAGAACAAAATCTCCCCTATGCTATGGATACAACAAATAACAAAATAGCTTCCAGTGTTAACTCGCTCTCTTGGTAAATAACACTCTCAAACCACCTCACGTCCTTAACCAGGAAACAGGGACACAGAACAGAAGAATCTGTAGGAAAAACAGCAAGTTCAATTTTGGGTATGTCAAGATGTAAGACAACAAATGGAGATGTCCAAAAGATAGGTGAATATATGAGACTGGAAACAAGAAAAGAGGGCTTGGCTAGAGAAACAGACCAGAAAACCATTAGCTACATTAGCTAGGAAAAAGCCTCTGAGAAAGGCTTTTTTGAATCTTCAGCCAAAATAAAAATCTCTCAATCGATGAAGATTATTACCCTACACAAGCTCTACCTAGTACTTAATTAAACAAGAAGCCCTTGATGGATTTAGTCTACTGCAGGGTAATGCAGTGCTCATGCGCAATTTTTACCTTCATCTGGACAAACTTGCCATATGTTAAGGTCTTCAGGGTAAAGTCTCACATATCCTTACTAATTGATACGTTGCAATAATTTTCCCATTTGGCATATGCTCCCTCTTTTGACTCTGTTCTCAAATCCATTGTTCCATAGTCTATCTGTTCTGAACAGATATTTGTTCTCTGCTGCAGATACATAATTAGTAAAAGCAGATGCAATTCTCAACATTAAGAGTTACATGCAGTGAGTTTTCCAACATTATCATTAAAGAAATTCTATACTAGGAGGCTCAAAGGCTCCAAATGAATTATTTTTCTTTAACAGAAACCTCTCTAACAGTTTGAATACACCTCAGTTCAAAAGCTCATTTTCCTGAATGTCTGTTTTTGATTGAGAACATTTACTCAAATGTAATTTTCCAAGAAATTAGAAGACACATTTCTACATATGCATAAGTTCACATGTTAAAAACACATTCAAAATGTTTTATGAAGAGTTGTATTTCATGTAAAAATAGCAGTGAAGAAATAATTTTCCTAACTTAATACATATACTATAGTTAACAAAATACAGACAAAACAAAATAAATCTGAAAAAGTAAACAGGGATATTATGCATATGTTATGTTTAATTTAAATTAATTCCTTGTGCAAAATCTTCTCCCACTATGTGTTCTTTCATTTTTTTCAACTAGCTTAAAAACTTTTTTTTAAGTGAGGTAAGTTGAAATTTTGTTCAAGAATAGTCCTTTAAAATATCACCCAATTCACAGAATGTTCACTCAGCTTAACTCCATAGTTACACCATACCAACAGACTGATGTACATTCAGTAAGGACGGGTATAAAAAATGGTAACATTTCTTGGGAGGCCGAGGCGGGTAGATCACGAGGTCAAGAGATCAAGACCATCCTGGCCAACATGGTGAAACCCAGTCTTTACTAAAAAAAATACAAAAATTAGCTGGGCATGGTGGCGCACGCCTGTAGTTCCAGCTACTTGGGAGGCTGAGGCAGGATAATTGCTTGAATCCGGGAGGTGGACGCTGCAGTGAGCTGAGCTCACGCCACTGCACTCCAACCTGGCGCCTAGCAACAGAGTTGACTGTCTCCAAAAAAAAAAAAAGAATGGTAACATTTCCTTTTACAGATGATAAAATATTAATTACACAGAGAATATAACGCCACATATACTCCAAAGGGAAAAATTAGGCTTAGCATTTTCTGACCACAAAATAACTACTGAATAAGATTTTTAGGATCTAGTTTAGCTTATATACTCTTTATTAAATATAAAAGGATATCATAAAATTAAAATATCAGTAAACATCTGCTTTTCTTTATACATTCCTTAGGCTAAGCTTATAAAATCAGATATGATTTTTAGTGAAGGGAATTACTAGCCATCTCCCTAACAACCCCATCTTTTTCTTACATAAGAAAATGCAAATTATGCTAATTTCTGTTTGCCAATGAATCTTTTCACATAAAATTACCACAGAGCTAGAGAAGCAAGACAAGAAAAAGTAGTGAAGTGTGTTTAAAGTTATTCTTTCTTACCAATATGTTGACGTAGAATCCAAGAGGATTTTGAGGCACGAGAAGAAAGCATCTTTTCAACAGCTGGTGGAAGTCTCTTCCAATTAGTAAACTCCAAAGTGAAGATAAGGGTGTCAATGCTGACTGAGTCAATCCTATGTTAGCAAGATGTTAAAATGACATTAGAAACAAAACATGCCAACGGTTCAGAGTGGAAACAAACACCATTCTTACAAAATCTCAATGAGGAAGGCAGACAGAAAACCAGGGCATGGAAAGTATTTATGTAACTGGATGCAAGATCAGTGGATGTGAAGAATCATCTACAGGTTCCTAGTAACGGAATTGACTTTGTGTGTAGCTGTCTAAGACGACAAGAGGACCCTCAGAGAGAGTAGGAACTTTCCTTCTCATTGGTGACAGCACCAGTGACATCAGTGGACCTGCTATTATTTCCTCCCATTTGTACTACCTTGCGTAATGTAAATTGGTCATCCTTACAGACATATAATTTAATAATTCTAAAAGGATAAAGCCCAAACACCCCAAGTTATCCCTACCCTGAGTGTACAAGTATACAGGAATGGCTTCTTTCTGCCCCACTCCCATGATGCATAGCTGTTCTCCTCTAAGAACCTTCCCCCATTATAAACTCAACCCTAAACGATATAACAGAATAAGATTTGTCATTAAGAACTGAAAGAAGGGGTTCCAAACAGGCCTTCCTCTGTTCTTTCAAAATAATGCCAGATTCCCTACCAATCCACTCAAAAGAGCCTAACCCAGAATTTATAAGCACTTGAAACCTAATGGAAAGAGTACAGGCTTAAGAAAAGTCTTGCCTCTGCTACTTATAAACAGGTTGCCTGAATTCTTTAAGCTCTAGCTCCTGCTCTTTAAAATGAGAATACATAATCTGCTCATTTCAGAGAACTATATGTGAAAATAATATGAGAAAACATAGTAAACATACTTTTAAAACTATAAAGTTATATGAAAAATTAGTATTACTAGAAATGATGTGAAACTTCAGTATACTTTTAGAAGCTTTAAAATGTAGTCAAACTTTAAAAAGAACCGAAATCCTAATAAGATTACTCATCCTGTACTCAATTAGACACCCCTCTACCATCACAATAGTTGGAGAGAAAAAAAATTACTAGGGTTCCTTCTCAGGGTCATCTTTTTAGAGATATTACTGAGCAATGACTAAAGAAAGAAAGGAAATACAAGGAAAGAAAATAAGCTGAGTAATAATCTAAGCTTATCATCTCAAAGATATTTCTGGTAATTCGAAGTCAAAATATCTTTGAAATCATGAACTAAAGATTATGAAAATTATTTCCCAAATTAATTCTCCAATATGCAAACATGTAAGGAAGAACCTAAAGTGTAGCACAGATGTTTTGGAAAAACATTTTGTTTCTCAGCAGGTCTCAGTGAAATCACAACTTATCAGGAAATACTGAGGATAAATGAAATGATAAAATATATTCAAAGACAAACAATTTCCTTGACTTTCTAGGGGTCCCAAACCAAAGGTCACTTGGTTCTGGTTCTTTATTCTTTTTTAATGATTTCATTTTTCTGCCTTAATGCGCATTAGGTCTTACTGTAACCAAACACAAAGTCATTTTTATGCAGTTATCTGAACATACACATGACAAGTAAATCCGTTTGCACAGTTTTAGTTAATATAACGGTGAGTTTATTTCACCAGCACTGATGTCACTAAAAATGTATCATTACTTTACTACAGTGACCATTACATTGTATAGAGCAGTTGTACAATCATAAACGAGTGACATTTAATCAACTAAATGCACAAATGACATTTACGTTCTATTCTCCCATTACATAGGGGTGGGGTGCACAGGCAGAAGACTGAGTCTTGCATTTAAATATTGTGGCAGGCAATTATTCAGCCAGATATATTTTTAAGACTGTTTAAGACAAACAATACCCAGAAAATATGTTCATAACTTACATGACAAAGATTAAGCAATAGACCTACCTGTGATATAAATAACAATCAAAATCTACTTTAACAACATATTGAAATTTTTATAGGAAAATGTTTCTGATAATAGCTCTTTGAATGTAAATTTGATCAAAGAAAGCAAAACATTTATCATATGCAGTGTAAACACCGGCTTTACCCATTCAATAAAAGATCAGTGAACAAAAATTTGACCATGTTAAGCATTTTCATTGCTAAAGTGAAATTTTCCATTGTATTTTTTCTAATGAATATAAAGTAACTAAAGTTACTTACTCCTCAGGAGTAAAAAACATGCAGTTGGCATTCCCCATTCAGAACACTGAAAGTTTTACAACTTCCTTCAAAATAGTTTCTAGTTTACTAGTTCTTAACTCTTTTCTATTTCACATATCCAGTAAGTACCACACACACCCAGTGGCTTATTGTCACAAAAATTCTCAACTATTCACAAGTGGGGGAAAATGGGGGAGCTGTATCAGAATTAGGGAAAGGAGGATAATTTTACAAAGCCACCTAAGAGAATAAAGCTAAATAAATCCCTCTCCCTACAAATAGTCCATTTAGTTGGCTGAGGAGGAAAGGACGAGAGGCAATGTTTAATTTTTTTCCCCCTGGCTTTGGTTTTTCCTAATTTAGGAGCAGAAAGAAGCAAGAAAAGTTGGCACAAATCCCTCAGGTTAGGCAAGGGATTAAGGATTACTAAAACTGAGTAACAAAGTTATAGATAGCCCTCCACATGTGCAGATTCAACCAATGGTAGATTGAGAATACTAACAATAATTAAAAGTAACAATACAATAATAAAAAATAACACAAATTTAAAATTACAGTACAACTATTTACATAGCATTTATATGGCATTAGGTATTATAAGTATCTAGAGATGACAAAGTATATGGGAGGAAGTGCACAGGCTATATACAAATACTACACCATTTTACATAAGGGATGTGTCAGCGGTGTTCCAACCAGAGCAACTCCATCTTGAATACGGTCTAGGTAAAATAAGGCTGAGACCTACTGGGCTGCATCCCCAGGAAGTTAAGGCATTCTTAGTCACAGGATGAGACAGGAGATCCACACAAGGTACGGGTCACAAAGACCTTGCTGATGAAACAGCGCTTGGTAAAAAAGCTAGCCAAATCCCACCAAAACAAAGATGGTGATGAAAGTGACCTCTGGTCATCCTCGTTGTTCATTATATGCTAATTACAATACATTAGCATACTAGAAGACATTCCCACCAGCCCCATGACAGTTTACCAATGCCATGGCAATTTCAGGAAGTTACCCTATATATTATAAAGAGGGGAGGAACCTTCAGTTCTGGGACTTGCCCATCCCTTTTCTGGAAAACTCATGAATAATTCACCCCTAGTTTGACATGCAACCAAAAAGTAACAATAAGTATAAGCAGCTCAGCAGCCCATGCTGCTGCTCTGCCTATGAAATAGCCATTCTTTTGTTCTCTTAGTTTTTAAACAAATTTGCTTTCACTTTATGGACTTGCCCTGAATTCTTTTTTGTACGAGATCCAAGAATCCTCTCTTGGGAGTGTAGATTGGGACCCCTTTCCAGTAACATATGGATTTCGGTATCTGAGGGGTATGAGACTCAAGGCATGATTCACCTTAAATTCCTGCCAGCTGTAAGCGTGTGAAATCAAACAAGTCATCTACTTTCAAAATTCAATGGTGGGACAGGCATAAGACAAACATTTCCATTCCAAAAGGGAGATATATCCAAGAAGCAAAATATAATAGGCCCCAAGTAAGTCCAACATTCAAGAGGAAAAACATTATAGCTTGAGGCTCCAAGGTAATATACCCTGACTCTCATCAAGCTTCCTAGATAGACTGGGATGGGGACTGAGCCTCCACTACCTGAGGAAGCTCCACCACTATGGCTTTGCTGGGTTCAGTCCCACCCCTATGGCTCTGTCCATTCTTCAGCTCTGCCAAGATGGCACTGCATGCTGGTAGCTCTATAGTCCTGAGGTCTCAATGGCAGTTCTGCTCCCATGGCTCCTCTATGCATTGCTGAGGTAGAAACTGTAGAAGCTCTAAACTCTACATTTCCCCTGGGCAATGCTCTAGAAAGGCTCTCTGCAGTGGTTCCTCCCCTGGCACAAGTCTCTGTGTGAGCTCCCAGACTGTTTTCAACAACCTCTAAAATCTAGGTGGAGGAATCCATGCCCCCACAGCTCTTGCATTCTATATGCCTCTACAGAATTCGTACCGCTACCCAAACCGTCCTGAAAACCATTCTGACCTCCTAGTTCCCTGGGCCGGTGATAGGAGGCGCAGCCTGAAAGATCTCTGCAATGCCTTCAAGGTTTTTTCCCAATTGTCTGGATGATATCTTCTATTTGTAGAAATCTGCTCAGCAAAGAGCTGCCAGTCACAACCTTGGGTAACTCTCCTGAAAATCCTCTTTCATTCTTTTCCACACAGCCAGGCTGACACTTTTCCAGATTTTTCTGCTCTTCTTCCCTTCTAATTATAGATTCTGTCTTAAGTCATTCCTTTGCCCTCACATCTCACTCTAAGTGGCCAAAAGCAGACACGCAGCAGCCTGAATGCTTTGATAGTTATTTCTCCCAGCAGATATCCTAGTTCATCACTCTTAAATTCCGCCTTCCATAAAGCCCTTAGGCATAGACACAGTTCATCCGAGTTCTTTGCTAATTCATAACAAGGATGGCCTTTACTCCAGTTTCCAACAGGATATTGCTCATTTTCATCTGAGACCTTGTCAAAATGGCCTTTGCTATCCGTATTTCTATCAACATTTTGGTCACAACCACTTAAGTAATCTCTAAAAAGGTTCAGACTTTCCCAATCTTCTCGTCTTATAACCACTCACCAGAATCACCCTTAACACTCCATTTATGGAAATAAAGGCTTTTTCTAGACTGTTCTTTCAAACTTTACCAGCCTCTACCCATCACCTAGTTCGAAAGCCACTTCCACATTCTTAGGTAATCATCATTAGCAACAGCCCCACTTCTCAGTACCAAATCTCTGTCGTAGCTTTATATGAAGAGAGACCTGAGCTGGCTTTTGCTGTCTCACCAAGTGAAGACCTCTGCCATATTATGTATGACACAGCAAGAAGGCCCTCATCACCTGAACCCCTTGACCTTTGACTTCCCAGTGTCCAGAACTGTAAGAAATTTGTGGGTAATTTACAAAGAAAACAAATTTCTTACAGTTTTGGACACTGAGAAGTCAAAGGTCAAGGGGTTCAGGTGATGAGGGCCTTCTTGCTGTGTCATACATAATATGGCAGAGGTCTTCACTTGGTGAGACAGCAAAAGCCAGCTCAGGTCTCTCTTCTTATAAAGCCACCAGTCCCATCACTGGGGCACCACTTTGATGAACTTATCTAATCCTAATTACTCCCAAAGATCCCACCTCCAAATATCATCAAAAAATGAATTTAGGATTGAAGTTAGAGGACACATTCAAACCACAGCAGTAGGTATCAGACAGTTTCTATGTTTTGGTTAAAGAAATAAATTAGAAACCAGAAAGGAGCATGAAGGCTAAAAGTAATGGGCAAGTCATATTGAGTCAGAGTTAACAGCTGTGATAGAGGAACAAAACGAGTGTGGCTAAGAAGAAAATGAGCACCTCAAAGACACTCATTACCACATGGGTTAAGAATTGAAACACAAAAGTGAAGACTTCTAGATATTTTATTGAAATTCTATAACATGTCTTCTATTTGCCTGAAGACTTCCATTTTATTTTCTCATTTGACTTGAATTATCAGGTCAAAAGAGTCCTCTCACTACTACAACTACCTGTCTTAGGACACTAACAATTTTTGCCAAGGCTGGAGGCTAACAGAAACAGTCTTCTTCTTGCCCCCTCCCCAAAATTCTGACTCAGTATTTGTATAATCTATCACCAAGAGCTGCCCTTCTGGAAACTACCTGAAGTAAACAAGCTATATTCTCAGATACTTCAGAAATCAGTATTTATTAAGGGTGACAAATTTCAAATAGACAGGATGCTGTAGGGAAGGAGTATTCAGTCTGGTTGGCTGAGGGTTAGGTAACAGAAATCTTCAAAGCAGCTGCAAGCATTCTTTCTTCTGTCACAGACATTTTAAGAGAGGCATGAGGAATGGCCAGAAGTCGAAAAAATATCCCTCTTGGGAGAGTTCACTGGCATTTATTCCCTCATACTTCCTTCCAGTCACCTCTTACCTTTTCCCAGGGCTCTGCTTAAACTTAATCTCACTATTAGCAGCCACCAACTCCTTTACCCCAGTTCAGCCATCACAGTCAAAATACACACGCCCCCTTTTCCAAATATGGAGATCTCAAGAAACTAAAGGAAATTCAAGGTAGTATATTCACTCAAAAAGGGTAAGCCCTACTATGGTAGGATTTCTTACCAAGAATTGCACAGTAGAATCAGTGGGTCAAATCCAGCAAGCAGAAGATGTGGCAACCACTCCTTATATTTTGTTTGTGCTTTAATTGCATGATTTACAAATTCACTTATATGGTTCCATGGTGCCAACGGGCAACCTTTCTTCAAAAAGTAGCGAAATGCTGAAAACTTCTCGTACTTCAGACAGTATGCCAAATGAAGTTCATTTACTTGGGCTCCATATTTCAAAAGAATGTTTACAATTCCAGAGAACTCACAGCTCCACCACAAAAAATAAAAACAAAACAAGAAGAAGTAAGACTTTGACACAAAGTATCCTACAAATTGTTAATAGTAGTTTTACAGCTGGGGAATAAGTATGGCAGATGAGATAGTGGAAGGTTTTGACACATCTAGTGGATTTGGATTAGAGAATGTGGGAGGCGGGGCTTTTGCTTTTTACACCCTCCTGAATGGTTTTTAATTTTCAACTGTGAACGGGTATTACTCTTAGAATTTAAAACATTCTTCTTAAATAAATATTTAATTTTAAAAATTATCATTGACAAATAGAAAACTTAAATTGTGATATTTTGTACAATTAAGTATCTTTACTACAAATTACTTTGCTTAACAAAATCGATAAACAATGTGATCAGTCCTTAAAACTAAATAATTCATTCTAAGAATCTCTCAGATATCATTTTCCTTAGCAATTAACTTAGCCAGTTCCCCTCCCACTTTTACATTTATTTATTTTTCTAGAGACAGGGTCTTGCTCTGTGACCCAGGTTGGCATACAGTGGCACAATCGAGGCTCACTATAAGTGAACTCCTGGGCTCAAGCAATCCACCTACCTCAGCCTCCTGAGTGGCTGGAACTACAGGTACATGCCACCATTCCTGGCTAATTTTTAAATTTTTTTGTAGAGATGGAGTCTAACTATATTGCCCAGGCTGGTCTCAAACCCCTGGCCTCAAGCAGTCCTCCCACTCTGGTCTCCCAAAAGGTATGCCACCATGACTGGCCTTAAATTTAAAATGATATTTAAAAAAATTAAAAAACCTTTTTAACTAACAAAAATTCAATTTACAGTACATTTTAAAATTGATTAAGTTCTATTCTACTATTATCTCCATTACAGATATAAAAACTGAAGTTTAGTCACAGAGATAGTAATTGGTAGAACTGGGATAATGATATCAACCCAAAATCTAACAGTGAATATGACACAGCAAATTTCTGCAATATCTCTTCTCTAACTATTATGAAAACAGATGACTTCATGATATAGTCAGATTGAAGAATATTTTAAAGCCATACCTATATTTTCCAAAGTAGGTTACAAGGAACTTTAGTTCCTAAAAATGATCCATATGAAAAATACTCTTCGGTGAAAAAAATTGAGAAAACTTATACAGTATATAGTAAGACTGAGAAAGAAATAAAGGATGAATGTATTTTTAAACAGTATGTTAGCTACATTTCCAATTATATGCTCAATGTTTTTATTCAACCTCCAGATACCTTTCAGAAGAAGTACCTTTAAAATTAAAGCAATGGGTCCAATCATTAATCTGAAAAAAGCAAAGAGAAGTATAAAATGCCCAAAAGTCTGTAAACACAAGAGCAATGGTATATACACTTAAATATAAGTTCTATCCTATGTTTCTGGACTTTCTAAACCTTTGTAGATCCATTCCTCTCTTGGGAATTCGCAAAGCAGTCTTAAGAAAAATTCTCAAATGCCCTCCACAAAAGAAACATATTTAATACTATTTAATCCTGTATTTCCCAAACTTATTTAACAATACAACCCCTTTTATTCCATATAACATCTATTAATAATCTACAGAATTAGTATTCCACAAAAACACACTTTAGAAAACCAGCTCTAAGTCTCTTCCCTATTATTCACATTGCCTTGTATTAGAAGGGGCAAGAGCAACTCCCAAAAGGCTTATAAAACTGCATAGTGTGGCTGGGCATGGTGGCTCACACCTGTAATCCCAACACTTTGGAAGGCTGAGGCGGGCAGATCACCTGAGGTCAGGAGTTTAAGACCAGCCTGACCAACATGGGGAACTGTCTCTACTAAAAATACAAAATTAGCTGGGTGTGGTGGTACGTGCCTGTAATCCCAGCTACTCGGGAGGCTGAGGCAGGAGAACTGCTTGAACCCAGGAGGCAAGGGTTGCAGTGAGGTGAGATCACACCACTGCACTCCAGCCTGGGCAACAAGAGAGAAACTCTGTCTCAAAAAACAAAAAACAACAACAAAAAAACCTATTTTTCCTGTCAGGTTTTAAATTCTTAAAGGATATTTCAGCTTTCTCAGTAAGTTTAACAAGATCTGTTTAGTGCTCTCTATATAACAAATGGTGAATTAATGTTTTTAACTGATTCTGTAGAAATCACAGGAGAAAAGGGTCTGCCCCCTAAAATTTCAAATAATCCTGGAAAATCCAAAAACCTATTTAAGACCTTTCCCACCTAACTTCATTTATCTGAATCTATAGACAGCATGAAACATACTGCCTAGCTCCCAAGGAATATCATTAATTTTAAGGTGTTTCAGGGTTAACAGGGGTACTGCGGTATATCACTTAATTTGAATTACACTAATAAGGTGATGAGGCATGAGCTTAGATGCTATGACAAGAAGGACCAAAAACATTGTTCATCCAAAAGATAAGACGAAGGCCAAAAAAGACCATCATCATAGTGAATACACACACACACACACACACACACACAGGACTCAAACCCTTATAGTCTGGTGTAATAAGAAATGTTGTTCTGTAACGGAGTTAAGATATGGTATACAAAAGGGCAACTGGAAGTCATCAGTGCAACCTCACTGAAGTTCAACTAATTCGGGCTCTTTTGTTTAAAAAGACAAAACTTAATAGGTTGTACAAGAAAATCCTAAGAAATCACAAAAGTTATATATAAAGTGAGTCCCAGGTACTCAGATTAACCAAAATCCAAATATTCGAACTAAAATGTATAAGCTTAAGAGGCTGGGTGGGGTGGCTCACACCCATAACCCAATCACTTTGGGAAGCTGGAGGCAGACGGATCACTTGAGACTAGGAGTTGTATACCAGCCTGGTGAAACCCTGTCTCTATTAAAATGTATAAGCTTAAACTTCAAACAAATACAGTGAACTACTAATTTTACATGGCAAATGTTAAGAGATGGTAAAGACCGAAAAGCTTAGTAAATAATTTCTCAATAACTATTTAAATTAAATAGACATCCATAATAGTGAATTCAAGAAAACCAATAAAATTTGAGGTATGCCTGCAACCTCTTCTGTGTCATTAAAAACAATAGCATTTATCTTCACTACTTATTCCATTATTGGATGATCAGATATTACTCAATATGGCTTTTCTTACACACAGCTTTATTTTTACTATTTAAAAAATAATTAATTTGGGGGTTTTTAGAAAGCTTAATTATTCAGACTCATATTAAAAAATGCTATACAGCCAGGCATGATGGCTCACACCTGTAATACCGGCATTTAGGGAGGCCAAGGCAGGTGAACTGCTTGGGCCTAGGAGTTCAAGACCAGCGTGGACAAAATGAAGAAACCCCATTTGTCCTAAAAATAGAAAAATTAGCTGGGAGTCGTGGTATATGCCTGGAGACCCAGCTATTCTGGAGGCTGAGGTGGGAGGATCACCTGAGTCCAGGATACAGAGGTTGCAGTGGACCAAGATGGGGCCACTGCACTCCAGCCTGGGCCAGAGAGGCCCTGTCTCAAAAAAATTTTTTTTTAATGCTTTACACCAATTACATTTAAAAAGCAATAATATCTATAAAACTAAAGTTTTATTTTAGGCTCACAAGCAGTCTTATAAATATAAATTTCAAATGGTAAATGACTTGAATAGTCACTGCCTTACTTGATAAAGTCCCATTTTTAATTCTTGAATTGTTTTGAAGACCAAAAATATCAGCGAATTTCTGCATCTACTTAAATTGTAAGTATTCCCTAAAACTGCTGCACTAAAAATGTAATCCAGATCCAAAGAAGGAAGGAAAACAATCCGATATTATCACCTCATTTGTGCTACAGCTTGACTGAAGCATCACAGTTTTTCCTATTTGTGTTCCAAGCTAGCAATTTAGCACTAACAGAGATACTAAGTTTCACCGTGAAAGAAAGTCACTTCAAAACCCATCTCCATACAGCAAAAAAGAATAAAAAATAAAAACATAGCAAATATACATACTCCTTTTGGAAAGCCATGCACATGGGAGAACTAAATCCAAAGATAAGGCACGCCTGGGCATCTGGGCTGTAGCCGTTCCGGAGTAGTATTTCTAGGCACTCTTCATGTCCCCCAAACACTGCTGAGTAAACAGGGCTCACTTTGTTTAGCCCAGTGTCACAGACCCGGCTAGTAAGTGGCACCAACAAGTCCAAGATTCTATAAATACACAAATTCAGGAGCATTGAAAATACACAAATTCAGGAGCATTTAGTGTATTTATATGTGCACAAGTGCAGACAACATTAAAACAAATTTTTTTGGAATCACCAATTGATTAATTTAAAGAACTATTTCTGTCTGGGGTGTACCTTCTACCAAAAACATTACATTAAATTATTACACACTACACATTTACTATAAACTGTTACACTTATTATTGCTTCATACAAAGGTACTTAAATACATCTGAAACAAAATTAATGTTGCTATATGTAAATAGAAAAGGTGCTCTTTTAATTTTATTACCTTATTAGCACCACCTTATTCCCCAAAGTTCAAATTTTATGTTAGATATTTTAGCATCTAACAAATTATTTAAAACATCATTATACTAAGTATAAACTGGCATCAAAAAATACACTATTTTCCTTCTTAAAGTACTAATTAGTTTTACTTTTCCAATTAGTAAAAATTTTTAAAGATGATAAGTAACATGAAATGAAGACTAATATTTTCATCAGAAAGAAATTATAATTTCTGCTAAAATATTCTATTATCTGAAAAAAAAGTGAGCTCATTAAATACAAAGGCAGATTTATAAAAAAGCTGGTTCCTAGGTAGAGAAAGTTCTAAAGAAAATAATTAAAACAAAAGTTCTTAGGTTATTTGTAAACTTACCTCTAGCAGTCACCCGGAAAGAAAAAAGGACTATTCCACCCTTTTAAATTAAAAATAAAACTGTACAAATAAAACGAGGCCCTCTTTCTGGGAAAAGACAGACAGGGCTACTCTGAAGTATTTTTATAACAATTACACTTCTCTTCCCAAACTTTCTTTATGTAATGTATGTCTTAGATAATATTTAAGTAGAACTTACATTCACAAAAGGGGCTACCTTTGAAGTAGGCTATAAAGAAAATCATCAGTGACAATCAGAATTCTCAAAATTGAGAATGCCCAGCAGAGTTCTGGTATCACTTAAAGCTCAGAGAATAATATCTAATATTTATGTTTAAATAAATGATCAAGAATTGGGGAAAACATCAAATTTTAAAATCTAAGTATTTTGTTAAAATAGTCTATTAAATGTCTCTTAAATTTAATAAATGTGTTTAATTTTTTAAAATAGGCTGGAAAAATTATACTTTCCCACAAGACATAAACATGCTTACAAATATCATTATTAATGAAATAGTACTGTGCCACCTAGTGGCACAATGATCAAATTACAGAATCTGTTTTCCTTTTATGTAAACAAACTAAATAAGTAATGAATATTTTACTATTACTTTTTAAATTAAATAATACTATGAACAGCTATAAAAAGTATTACTGTAAAATTATGACTCTAAAGATTTTAAACATATATTTCTAAAAATTGTTGACTGCCAATTTATGAAAGGCAGCCATATTCTCACAGGTATAACCAAGTTACTAGATTCTAAGATTTCTAGAACGCCCATTTACTCTCTCTCCACAAAAATTCCCAGCTGGATTTGAGATTAGATCAAAAAAAGTTCAGTCAAAGGATTTAAGACAGGGAGGACTACTTAGCACACACTCCAACAGGCTTTCTGTTGGAAGCACATAAACTCAAAAGCTTTCTGGGGTCAGATGTAACATGGATAAGGCCATCATCAGAATGAGTCTAACAGATGACTGGGAAAAAACTAGAGAGAAGGAGGCAGCTACAGCCATAACTAGAGAAATCAATGGGAAGACTCAACACCCTGAGAAAGTCCCTGAGCCTGCCCCATATCTAGCAACTCTGCCTCACAATATGAAAGTGCAGGACTCACAGGAGGAGCAAAAGATAGCATGAGGGACAGAATAGGGGTAGATCTATTCACCCAGCAGATGGGTAGGGAAGAGAATGTCAAACATTTTGCCTAGAGGTGAAGGGTCTACCCCAGATTTATTCTTTATTAGCTTTTGATTAAGAGACCATGTTTATTTTCTGTTTTTAATACTTACTTTGAATGGCCCATTTGTGAAGCTGCATGAACAGGTAACTGCCAATTATCCTCATTACAGTAAAGATCAGGATCAGCTCCACTGGAGAGCAAAAGCTCCACACATTTGGTGTGTCCCTCTTGAGCAGCAATGAACAAGGGGGTAGCTTTGTCCAAGGCTTGACAATTGACATTTGCACCTAATACAAAACAAAACATTTAACAGATAATCCTCATTTATATTTTTAAAAATCAACATAAATTTCAAAGGAGCTACCACAAAAGGGTTTCACAGCACAATAGTTTTTCCTTCTTCACCTGGATGTTAAATGTTGTTATATTAACATAGTTACTTTGCTAACTTTTTGCTAATCATTTAAATTGTCTTTGCTAAACTGACAGGGTGGCTCATGCCTGGAATCCCAGTAATTTAGGAGGCTGTGGCCAGAGGATTGCTTGAGGCTGAGACCAGCCTGGGCAACATAGTAAGACCCTGCATCTATGAAAAATAAAAAGATTTTGCTTTTAAGTCAGCAAGAAAATAAGTGATTCATATCTTAGAATTCATTTTTAAGCTAAAACAAAAAATCCTATTCAATGAAGGAAACATTTCATTCCAATCCCTCCTCCAGCAAGCATTCTGCAAGCCCAGTAAGTAAACATTTAAAAAGAAAAAATGCAAACTAGCAAACATGAATAATATTTCTGATAATTACTGAAAAAGGTAAAATCTAATTATGTCACTCTAATTGATTCAGGCTAAGATTTATGAAAAAATTATCAGTAGATATGGCAGCTGTGACTTAAAACTAATATTGACTATACTCTTTATTACATCTCTTTCTTTATAACCACTGAATGATAAATAAAGCCTACTATCAGAGAAAAAGAGTCTCTTTAAACTCAGGTTTCTGAGTTGATATTTAAAATCATAAATGTGAAAGGGGAAAACAATAACATCACAGTGAGAGAAAGAAAAACAAAATATCCTACCCATATGAAAATAATTACAAAAACTGTTTAAGTGCGACTGTCTCCAGATCAAAAGGAACTACCACAAGAATTTTGGATTTGTGAAAAATCTAAATGTAGTGACACTATCAAAGAATCATAGTAGTGCTCCAACGATGGTTCCCGACCCAAATGGAAACTCAGAAATGACAGATAAAAAACTCAAAGCAAGGACTGCAAAGAAGCTCAACAAGATCCAAGACAAGGTTGAAAATAAACACAAAGAAACTTCTAAAGCACAGAAAATGAAGGCAGAGATACACATCTTAAAAAGGAATCAATCAGAGATTCTGGAATTAAAAAACTCATTTAAGGAATTTCAATATACGACTGTAAGTTTTATTAATAGACTGGACCAAACAGAAGATAGAATTTTGGGGCCCAAAGATCAGTCTTTCAAACTAACCCAGTAAGATAAAAATAAAGAAAAAATTTTTTAATGAAAAAGGCTTTGAGAAATATTTGATAATGTAAAGCAACCAAATCTATGACTTATTGGAATTCCTGAGAGAGAAGGAGGAAAAGTAAATGACCTGGAAACATATTTGAAGAAATAATTTAAGAAAATTTCCCTAATCTTGCCAGCGAGGTAGACATCCAGATAGAAGAAATCCAGAGAACTCCCTGTGAACATGAATATCACTAAGGTATATAGTCACCAGACTGTTCAAGGTTAATGCTAAAGAAAAATCCTTAAAGGCAGCGAGAGAAAAAGGTCAGATCATATACAAAAGGAATAGCGGACTTAGCAGAAACCTTACAAGCCAAGAGAGATTGTGGGTCTATTTTCAGCATTCGTAAAGACACTACAACCAGGAATTTCATATTCCACCAAACTAAGCTTCACAAATGAAAGAGAAATAAAATCTTTTACAGGCAAGCAAGCACTAAGATAATCTGTTATCAGTAGATTAGCCTTAGCAGCGATCCCTAAGAAACTTCTAAACATGGAAATGAAAGAATATTGCTACCACAAAAACACACCTAAGTGCACAGCCCAAAGACGCCATAAGGCAACCATACAATAGAAACTACAAACCAACCATCTACGAACTTAATAGGATCAAAATCTCACATATCAATATTAACCTTGAATGTAAAGGGTCTAAACGCCCTGCTTAATACTCTGGTTTCTCTTCAGACCATATAAACCTTTCACCTCTTACTAAACACCTCCCTTCAAAGGCACAGAGTTGCAATTCAGATTTTAAAAAAAGACCCATCTATCTGCTGCCTTCAAGAGATCCATCTCACATGTAATGACACCCATAGGCTGAAAGTAAGGGTTGGAAAAAGATCTATTAAGCAAATGGAAAACAAAAACGGTCAGGGGTCACTACTGTTGTATCAGACAGAATAGACTTTAAACCAAACAACAGGGCCAGGCCCAGTGGCTCATGCCCGTAATCCCAGAACTTTGAGAAGCCAAGGTGTGACAGAGCAGGAGTATCACCATCTGGCACAAGCACTAGCATTTTAAAATTCACCTTAATCAAAAATCATCTAAATCCAAAGGGCATCAGCCTAATGGCCAAGGTCAGCATAACCATAAGCCACAAATAACATCTCCAAACAGAAACATTCCAAACTCCTCCCTGACCAGAGACATGCTAGCTGCCCCACTCCAGCTGGGAAGATGCCAGCCCTGAGATAACTCCTATCCTTGCCCCACTCCAGCTGGGAAGATGCTAACCCCAAGATAACTCCCCTCATCCTGTCAGCTCCTTCACCCAGAGCCTCCCACATAAACATTCCAAGCTTGTGATAAGCCCTCTCACCCTAAAACCAGTATATATTTTTAGTCTGTAAGAGAAAGCACTCCTGACCAAAATCGGCCAGAAGCCCTTCTCAGGTTTTATCTAAAGTAAACCTGTCTTTAACTGCCAAGCTGTGTTTTGTGTTTCTTTCCTCTTTCTTTAACTCTTACAAGGTGGGAGGATTGCTTGAGCTCAGGAGGTCAAGACCAGCCAGGGCACTGTGAAAGGAAAATAAATCTTGGGACCCCCAAATCACTAAACCAAAGGGAAAATTCAATCTGGGAACTGCTTAAGGCAACCCTGCCTCCTATTCTATTCCTAAAAGAGATAGCTACTAAGATTTAAAAAAAAGTTACATACCTCCCTCACAAGGAATTTCTTTGTGAACAAAGGACAGACAGAACTCAAAGTCATCTTTCCGCTACTGAAATAAGTACATATCTGATTGCCTCCTTTGGAAAGGCTAATCAGAAACTCAAAAAAAAAAAAAATGCAAACATTTGTCTTCTACCTACCAATGACCTGGACACACTCTTCCCACTTTGAGTTGTCCTGTTTTTCCATACAGAACCAATGTATATCTTACATATACTGATTTGATGTCTCATGTCTTCCTAAAATGTATAAAACCAAGCTGTGCCCCAAACACCCTGGGCATATGTTGTCAGGACCTCCTGAGGCTGCATTACAGTTATGTGTCCTTAATGCTGGCAAAATAAACTTCCTAAATTGACTGAGACCTGTCTCAGATATTTGGGGTTCACAGCAACACAGTGAGATCCCATCTCTATTTTTTTTAAAAAAGAAAAAAATTATATATTAAAAAAACCAACAACAGTACAAAAGGACCAAGAAGGTAATTACATAATGATAAAGGGTTCAATTCGACAAGAAGACTTAACTATCCTAAATATACACACACCCAACAGTTTCATAAAATAGCTCTTAGAGATCTATAAAAAGATAGTAATAACAGTGGGGGGATTTCAACATCCCATTGACAGCATTAGACAGATCACCGAGGCAGAAAATTAAAAAACACCATTCTGGATATAAATTCAACATTTGACCAACTGGACCTAATAAACATCTACAGAACATTCCACTCAGCAACCACAGAATACATATTATTCTCAACAGCACACAGAACATACTCCAAGACTGACCATATGCTCGGCCAAAAAACACATCTCAATAAACTTAAAAAACTGATTCATTTGAGAGGCCAAGGTGGGTGGATCACTTGAAGGTCAGGAGTTTAAGACCACACTGGCCAACATGGTAAAACCCTATCTCTACTAAAATTACAAAAAAATTAGCCAGCCACAGTGGTGCATGCCTATAATCCCAGCTACTCAGGAGGCTGAGGCAGGAGAATCACTTGAACCAGGAGATGGAGATTGCAGTGAGCCAAGATCATGTCACTGCACTCCAGCCTCGGTACAGAGCGAGACTCTGTGTCAAAACAAAACAAAACAAAAAATGAATCATACCGACCATATTCTCAGACCACAGTGGAATAAAAATAGAAATCAATACCAAGAAGATCTTCCAAAACCACACAATTACATAGAAATTAACTTGCTCCTGGATAACTTAAGTAAAGAATAAAATTAGGACAGATATAAAAATATTCTTTGACATAAATAAGGAGACAAAACATTAAAATGCAGCAAAAACAGTGTTAAGAAGTTTAGAGCACTAAATATCTACCTCAGGAGAAAAGATCTTTAATGATGCAACATCACACTTAGAGAAACAAAGAAAACAAGAACAAACTAACCCCAAAGTTAGCAGAAAAAAAAAAAAAAACAATTAAAATCAGAGTGGAACTGAATGAAATTGAGATCCAAAAATCCATACAAAGGATCGATGAAACCAAAAGTCGGCTCTTTGAAAGGATAAACAAGATTGATAGACTGCTAGCTAGATTAACAAAGAAAAAAAAGAGTGAAGATCCAAATAAGCACAATCTGAAACAACAAAGTTGACATTACAACAGATTCCACAGAAATACACAAGATCCTCAGACTGTTATGAACACCTCAGTGCAAACAAACTAGAAAATCTGGAGGAAATGGATAAATTACACAATCACCCAAGACGGAATCAGAAAGAAATTGAAATAGACCATTAACAAGTTCCAAAACTGAATCCATAATAAAAAAACCTACCAACCAAAAAAAGTCCTGGACCAGATGAATTCACAGCTGAATTCAACCAGATGTACAAAGAAGTACCGGTATCAATTCTACTGAAACTATTCCCAAAAATCAAGGAAGGCGGGACTCCTCCATAACTCATTCTACAAAGCCAGCATTATCCTAATACCAAAACCTGGCAAAGACACAAGGAAGAAAGAAAAGTACAGACCAATATCCCTGATGAACATAGCCACAAAAATCCTCAACAAAATACTAGCAAATCAAATC